AAACTAGTAATTCAGCTCCGTTTCAGCACTCTCAATATAGTCTGTTGTCAACGCTTGATAAGACGTATAACTTATCGCCATTTCACTTCTCTTTTTCTCCGCACTTTGCATTTAGAAGATAATTCTCTTTGGCTATTAGAGGATATTCTTCCTCATCAGTTTAGAGAAATATTTGGTCAAATGGCTTTTAAGTAAAAAATGGTTCTTACCTTCTAATTTTTCACTTATCATATGGAATTCTTTTTGAGGTGTAGCCTTGGGTAAACAGACATCCTTCTGTGAAACAGTCTCACGGTCACTCTGTTAAAAGTAATACCAATAAATAATTTAAATGGAAAAATCGTAATAATGAAGAGTATCAACATTTTCTAATTCAAATCTTTTTTAAAAACACAGTTTCCTGCTTCACAAGCAATTCAATTTTAGAGCAGATATGTATAAAGAACCAAAACATTTTGATAGAAAACCTCACGTAATATGGTCTACATCAAGCTTATCTTTACGTTCATGTGGCCTTTAACTTGGTTACTGAGCAGGAAAAACACATCACATTCACGAAAAAATTCACTCATGCATATTTCAAAAATTATCTCTTAAAAATATCTAACTTATCAGCAATATGTTTTCAACAAAATTTATGCTGACAGAAAGTGCTTGAATAGAATGTAAATGCAGTAAGAAAAATAATTATGTCATGTGTAAATCAAAGCAAACAATATTAAAGTCTTTTTGTCTCATGACAAATCAGATAAAATCTACCTGTCTATTCACTTCCACCCTTTGCTGTTACCACCAGGCAGCAGCTGCTTGTTTGTAAGAGGTCAGATCCTTTCTATGTCTTTCCATAGTTGTGACCTTAAAATACATCACTATTATTTGACACTCAACCTGAGGCAGCTTGACTGCCACAGAGGACCTCAAGGAGTTCTATTTGTGAAAATAATTTATATTTTTAAAAGAATACTCAACCAATACTCTTGTTATTATAGTCCCACAAGGTTTCCTATTCCTCAGACTTTTCTTTCTCCTGAAATGTTCCCTCAGCTCTATACTGAACAATAAAGATACGTCAATACATTCAAGTCTCAGCCATTAACTTTTCTGGCCCCAACTTTTACAATACGGCTGTTTAAACTGTCTCTCTATGATGCCAGTTAGAACTTCTGTACATCTAAATATACCACAGAATCATATATTTGCCCATAACTGGACTCAGTGTCATTCTTTTGTTTTTAGACAAACATACTTCAGATCCCATGTGAACTTCTAGTGACTTCTAAGCCTTATTTTTTACACTATACCACATTGGCTTCTTAAATTAATCCTACAAATAAGCAGAATTTCACTATGAAGCAGTAATCTACCTAGCACATAGATTCTCTATTCAGTGTACTCTGAAAAATATAAAAAACAATTTGGGGTGGACATACACAGAGGTGAAAAAATAAAGCCTAAGCCTCTGATTTTGTGTTTTCATATCATGCAGTACTAATATTAAAACAAAAACTTTAATACTACATAGTACCTCTAAATCCCAAGAATTTTCTTCTTTGTCCTTTTGTTTGGATTCTGATGGGATCATCTGATCTATAAAAGGTTAATCACACATACATTCATGAGAACACTTCTCTACTATAAATTTTAAAAACATATACAAATCTACTTTCATTTGTGAGTCTGTGATATTTCCTCTGTAGCCCATATATTCTTTTTTTTTTTTTTTTTTTTTTGAGACAGAGTCTCGCTCAGTCACCCAGGCTGGAGTGCAGTGGTGTGATCTCAGCTCAATGCAATTCAAGCAATTCTCCTACCTCAGCCTCCCAAGTAGCTGGGATTATAGGCAAGGGGCCACATTGCCCCGCTAATTTTTCATATTTAGTAGAGACAGGTTTCACCATGTTAGTCGGGCTGGTCTCAAATGGCATGTAGATATGTATTTTAGAATCTAGGATTATCACTATAATTTCGAGAATAAACTCTAAGGACCAATTTAATAGTTGAGAGAATTCCCATTGTCCTTGGTAATAGGAGAAACCATGACCATTTAATAATAAGCAAATCAAAGTTCGTCAGCTAACTTATTAATTTAGAGTCACTTTTATGACCTAAGTGCAGAACAGGTGCCAGACACTGCATCTGGGATCTTGGGACACACATAAAGAGAATCCAAGCAGTTTGCATTAATTTAAGAGGAAACCCCTCCATTTTTCTCTCGGGAAACTTTCAGACCTGTATCCTTGAAATATAACTTGTTTAAACAAGTATGTTCGCTACAGCAGAAATATATTGTCAAATAAGGAATAGTCAAAGCTCAAGTCATTTATTGAATAATGAGCATTTAATTCACAGCTTTATGTATTTCTTGGAAATAGATAATTATAGAACTGTTGAGGTATAGTGCTTCTCTGTAAGGTAATTATTCTTTGGATAGTTTAAGAAACACTAGAGGTAAATAACTTCAGATTACTGAATGAATGTAAAAGTAAAGTATTTACTACTATGTCTTAGGGTTTAAGGATATAGAGATAAAAGATACAGCCCTTGCCCTCAAGAAGCTCTTTTGGTTTAGATGGGGAGATCATAAAATCATTGTAATATAATGATTGGAGATAATCAGAGCACATGGTGATGGGATGTGCTTAACATTTACAGCAAGGCAGGCATGGGAAAGGCACAGAAAAGGTGGATAAAGGACTGCTATTGACTTACTTTTCTATTTTATGTGTTTAAGTTCATAGGATATTATATAAGTTTTTCAGTTCAGCTGAGAAATATGTAATTTCGAATTTTAAAATTATTTGCCAGTTTAGAATATTCTCACAATTCACTTTCTTTACTGGCCAATGGTGAAGTGAGCAAATTGTGTGGAACTTTACTGACAAAAATGCAAAATGCAATGCAGTCAATAGTTTGTCTGGTAGTATTTCTTTTATTGTGTGTCAATTTGGTTCTAGAGTAATAATGACTTGTTCTAGAGTGATAACATCTAGTTTACATTTACTTGTAAATTATTAGATTACAGGAAAATATCAATGTCAAATTATCAGGAAGAAAAGAATATTTTGACTGGTCAACATGAAAGAAACAGTATATATAGTAGGATTATCTTCTCTTATTACATTGACTGATTCATGTAATCTTATGTTTTTATTACCACTTCGTTAGCCAAAGTGGTTCTCTATTAGTTTTAAGAAGTATGAATAAGTTTACTTTATAATTCAATATTGAATGACTAATATTTTTATAGTATTTTTCTGACTTCTGCTTTTTTATACACTTTGAAAAAATGCAGCACATCTGGGCATGGTAACTGTCACCCGCTGGTTATCCCACCACTCTTGGAGAGGCCAAGGTGGTTGGATCACGGAGGCCAGGAGTCTGAGACCAGCCTGGCCAGCCATGGTGTAACCTCTGCCGTATTTGGGGGAATATAAAATTATTGGCACAGCATGGTGCCTGTAGGTCTCCGAAGCACGGGTTGGCTGAGGCAGAGAACGCTGAACTTGGCGGTAGAAGGTGTCGAGCTGAGATAGTGCCACTACACTCCAGCCTGGGTAACAGAGCAAGATTCTGGTCCCAAAGGAAAAAAGCAAAAATCAGCATGAAATAGGAGTTTAAAACTATTTTGTCTTTATGATAACTGTTTGCTTTAAGCTGTTCTACTTGAAGATCTGTAATTGTAGGCTATCCTTTATGTGATCACATTGCTATCAACAGATACTTAATTTATTATTATTTTTCCTTTTTTATTCATATAGTATTTTATTTTTAATTTGTATGCATAGAGTGGGAACATCTTTAATTGAATAACATTTTAGGTTTAATTAAGATAAGCCAAAAGGCAGAAGAAGAGAAAAGAGGCTTTTGATTCACAAGACTCTGAGTTTTAATTTCTAGCTTCCTCACTTGATAGTGTGACTCTTATTAATAATACTAAGTATTGATTTCATATAAAAAAAGAGAATAATAATATGTCCTTTGCTGGATGATTACTGAAGTAATGATTATGAACACACAGCATTTAATTCAGGGTCCCACTACATTCCATCAAAGATCATTAATCAAACTTATCACACACTACTACTAATATCATTATCTGAATGGTCACTTAAGCTTCAGATTGTTGTCACTGGTCTGACTTCTATTGACTTGAATACAATCACATCAGACTAAGGAAGGAATAGATAATTCTTCACTTAAATCTTTGCCTATGATTATGAACAGAGTACAATTTCTGCCCTCAAACGACTCTTTATATTAGTCAATTTTAGCATGCCATATCCTACTGGGATACGAGTCTTTGCTCCTTCCTTTCAGCCTCTATGGTGATTTAGCATGATAAACATTTGAGCACTCAAGATTTATGTTTGCTAGCACATGTAATGGTTAATTCACATTGACAGTATATATTAAAATGGTCTAGCTCTAACAATGTGAAGTATCTCTATTTTAAAGACAGCTTTCCTATGCCTGCCAAGGTCACATGGATCATTTATATAGTCGCATGCTGTTTCTAAGCAACAAGACGTTTTGCTGAAGATACGCAGAATGACTATGGTACGGTTATGGGCTAATGTTTGTGGATTTGATCAGTAAGGTTTATCAGAGGCCAGGTGAGATTTTATGTTTGCTCTGTGTAGCTTTGGAATGTGAGTTAGTTCATCACCAGCCAGAAACTAGGCAAAAGCTTTACCTTAGTTAGGAGGACGTGTCCAAGATTCTTTATTTAAGGACTTTCTAACAGCTTTATCCTGTTGTTGTCTAGTTGATTTTTCCTAATTAGTTATCTGGTCTTGGAATGTCCACCAGCAGAAACTGATAGCAAGTCCCTTTAGCTGTCTTCCATATTCACCTTTAATTCTTTAAAAATCCAAAGGGTTCCTGTTCGCCATGGGAAGATTCTTTTGTATAAGCTGGGCAAGGATTGGAGAAATCAAGACATCTCAAGTGGTTGGTTAGATTTACAGAGTTCAGCCTCATCCATCATTGACTGGGTCTTCGCGTATAAAGTAGAATTTTTGCTGTTTCCATTAATTCGTTGCTGCATCATTACATGAAACTGCTCCGTAGTCTGCAATGATTGACCTTTGCACCTAAATGACAGGATCCTCAGCCTTTATGTAAGTGATCCATATGGGATCAAAGTCACTAGCCTTTTAAGTTCATAGTACATATTCAGCCATTACTCTGTAAAGTACCTGCACCCTCTGCTCTGGCAGCTTTGACTTTAACTTGAAGCACCACAGTGTGGGGAGTAAACTGACCTCTTCTCCTCCCATCTCAAAACCTGATGTGAAACCCAGCATCTTAGAGCCTGGACTCTGGTCGAGACCGCGGTAAGTTATCCTCTTAAATGGGATTTTTATTTTCAGCAAATATTAGTTGTGATAGTTTAAAACTGTAAGACAGGTTGAAGTTAATGTTACAGGAATAAATTAGAGACCATTTTGGCTCACACGTAGATCTATATCCCTGGTAATTTATATCCTGGGTGAAACATTTATAGGTAGTGAAGGCCTCATCTTACCTGTAAGATCCCAAGTGTCATCTTCCAAATTTGTAGCCTGTCCCAACTTGCAGCTGTCCCCCAAGTGACTCTTCCCAAAGCAAAATCCTCATACTTGCATCCTATCCTAGGTCTTCAAACATTTTTAAATTTACTACTGAAGCCATCTGGGCTAGACTTCCACCTATCCTTATGGGAAAGCAAGGATTGGCCAGAGCTGCCTCACTCCATCAGATCAGTCTTCATGCAAAAGCTGGGATCACCCATTTCTGTAGGGTATATATACTAAAATTAATAATGCCGAGAAGATCAGTATGGTCCTGTCAAGGATGGCATACAAATCTGTAAGTGTTGTATATTTTTAACCCTAAAAGGACGCTTGACTACTTAACTAATCTAAGTGAAACGCACAAAGCAATGCGTGAGCACTAAGTATTGCAGTTGTGGATTTTACATAAAAATATTTATGTAAGGTGATGTATGAAATGATGTATGAGTAATAATATTACAATCTTCTGCAAATATGCTGTAAGTAGGTATCTCAGAAATGAAAGCAACAACTTAGATTTTTTTTGTGGGAACTTATAAAAAAATAGTGGTAGGGTTTTATTCTCTCCACAGCAGGCTAAATAGAACAGTGATCGCTTCCTCATTTTAAATATAAGATTTGCATAGTCTGCTTCAAGGAGGTATGGGTATATAGAAATCTAAGCCAGATGCTACATCTATTAGCCTTCTGTCTTCTTGCGTGACTTGATGAGCCAGTAACAGAGGATAATCAGGTTATCCAATTTGATGAATTCACTACATTTATAAATAAATTTCCCCATTACAAATTATAAAATATTTAGATGTGCCTTGAATTATAAGCCACAGAGACTAGAACATCTAATAACCAAAATGTAGAATTAATAAGAGAAACTGCAACATTTGAACATTATAACTTATGAAGAAACACTTTTTTAAAAATGAATTTGGTTTTTGTAGAGATATTGCCTCCCTTGCTGCTCAGGCTGGTCTTGAACTCTGGGCCCAAGCAACCTCCTGTCCAGTATCCCAAAAGTGCTTGGGCAATTACATATGAGATACCACACCGGGCCAACACATCAGCTCTGCATTGGGAATCTAAAATAGTTTCAGTAATAAGGTCTTAAGAACAAATTATTTTAATGTTTCACTATTTGTTTGAGCATTTTAAATGTTATCTTGTTAAATCTTTATAATAACTTAAAGGAAATGAGGCTCTAAAATCTTGGCTTTAGAAGACATTGAGCCTAAGAGAAGCAGGGCTTGTTCAACAAAAGTACCCATTGGTAACATGCTAGGACTTTTCTGAGTTAGGAGCATTTCATTAAGCTAAGCTAACTGTAGTTAATGATCAGAGTTATACTGCCTGGTTCAAGACTATTTCATCTTTTAATTCTTCTTAATTGTGAAACTTAGAAAGTTCAGAGCTAACAAAATCCTAAAGTCTGGGGAATAAGTAATGTTCTGATATTAGCTCTGATATTGTCTGAAATATCAAGAATTTAATACATTTAAATGTTATAACATTGTGTGTTAAAATAGTAATTTATTTATTACATTTTAATACCTAGCATCTATCAACAACTTTTGGAATATATACGTAAAATTATCTAAAATGCCGGGCCCTGTGCAAGACTTCTGATAGTAACTACTTCGGTGGTGCTACCATAAGATTATGAAGTGTTGATCAAAAAGGCAATTCAAAAGCAATGTGTAAATAGTATGTTTACATATGTATATATGTGTGTGTGTATATATATGTAGCTTTAATTTTTAGTTTATAATTCAGAATTAGTTAATAATTTTACTGTAGGTAGTTTTATAGTCTCAAAAATATTATCTGAAAAAATATTTGTTTAATTATGGTCCCTAAAATCCTATATAATACTTTTCTATACATAAGTAATGCAACTTTTAAGTTTGTACATTCTTTATGTTTCTCAATTGTCCTAATAACTTAGGCTTGTTATAAAATGTATAACCCTTGTTGTGATTGATGAACCTAGTAATAGATGCTTAGGTTGAAGCAATTTAATTTAAGCAGCTTAGATCTGCTTCATATATTAACGAATTAATATATTTATAAATGAATTTTATTACAATTATAGAGTAGCCATATGCCCTGAATTACAAGCCACAAAGAATTGAACATCTAATAATGAAAAGTAGGAATTAATAACAGAAAGCTGTAACATTTGAATATTATGTTCTGCGGGGTCCATTCCCACAGATGTGATTGAGACAATACACCCAGACACCCATATTCAGGAAAGAGCAGCAAGGGTTCTGAGCTGATTACAGATACCCAAGAAGGTGCTGGTAAAGATTGGCAGCCACAGGCCTGGCTTAGCTGGCCCCAGGGCATTTATTGTTAAAAGCTCTTAATGACAAAATACTTTGAGCCAACACACCTGTGGGTATCAATCCACACTCCCCACCCCAGGAGAGCCATCCTGCCCATGGCACTAAAAGTTAGTTTCAAGACCACACAAGTAAATAAGCTTATTTAGATAAACTACTTGTACCTTCCTTTGTACTCCACTCTAAGCCATTTACCTGGAAGCGTAAGAATTAGCTGCTTTCAGCTATAACCTTATCTTGAGACTTTACAAACCTCCTGGCCTTAAGAAGATTTGTGTCTATGTCCTATAACTTCATATTAAAATGTTTTCACCAGCCCGATCAACTCCCACAATAACCGGCGAAGAAACACGGTTTTTAAAATTATTTATTTATTTATTTATTTATTTATTTTTATTTATTTATTTATTGTAGAGACAGGATCTCTCTTATGCTGCCCAGGCTGGTATTGAAACTGCTGGGCCTCATTTAATTTTACAAATACATAGCTTGGGATTTAGTAAATGAGGAATTAATTACAGCTGAGTCTTGAGCAATGAGAGAGTTAGGTGCTGGATCCTCATGCAGCTGAAAATCTGGTTTCATATGAAAATCTGCTTTGACTCCTCCAAAACTTTACTAGTAGTCCACTGTTGATCTGGAGCCTCACTGAAGTAATACAATAGAAATAATTAACTTTACAGTTTACTTATATGTGAGTTGAAGAAAGAAACTTATAAGAAAGACAAAATATATCACTATTGAGTGGAAGTGGAATTATTACATATAAAGGTTCCCATTCTCATTTGCCTTCATGTTAGTAGTCTGATAAGGAGGGAGGCAGAGGAGAGATTTGTTCTACGGGTCCTGCGGCAACGAAAAGAAAAATCTGTTCATTAGGGCCCTACAGTGGAAACCCCTATCGCTGATCAATCAGGACAGAGATTCTGTGTCACTAAAAAAGTAATTCTTAGAACTTCAAATTTAATAATACTTTTCTGGTACCCATAAACAAATGCCAACAAGAATCACAAAACTCTAGCCAGGGTGCTCCCAGTACCAATAGGATTATTTTTCAGATAATTTACTGAACGTAGTCAGAAAAGCAATTTTTGTTGAGAAGCGCAGGTTATGTTACATAGTCTTGTACCAACAAGGTCCTACCATTATCAACTTCCACCTCCCAGGTTGAAACTAAATAAGATATATTTACCTAATAGAAAATGTGCATATGTTGTTCTATATGCTGGATAATAGTGTTAATAGTAATTTGTTACAACAAGATACTGTGTTTCCTACAGCTTCAAATAATATCACAAATATTCAAATAGCTTAACTCTAGGCTCAACAAATTATAACAGCAATACAAAAATTTTCACAATAACAAAATGCTACTGTGATACTCCAAATGTACATAATACTGTAATAACATGAACTATATGAGTACATATTTATTATATATTTATCAAAGGACTTGCAAGTTAGGTTTTGTAAGTTGCAAGAGACAAAGATAGAATACACATAGTTTGGCCCTTTTGAGGTGCCTATAATACACAGTACAGGTGTCCCTAATAACTCTGCATTTTCCAACAGAATTTCCTAAAAATATTTTTTATTCATTTATCCACCTGGTCCACTTAATAAATAATTGTCAGGTATCTTATGGTACTCAAGCATCTTCCTTGTTATTATCAATATTACTTTTTATTATTTACTACTTTACTAAGGTACTAAGCATTTTCTTGTTAATATCATCTTTTATTATTTATTACTTCTTTATTTAGTGCTTACTCTGTGCCAGAACCTCTTTTGGGGAGCTTATAATTATTACTTATTATGTCATGTTGTTACCAGCTCCAGCATGGCTGACATTTCCTATCCAAGGTGAAGAATTAGCTTTAAAAAGTTTGACAGTGTCCAGAAGCAGTGGCCTACTCCTGTAATCCTAGCAGTTTGGGAGGCCAAGGTGGATGGATTGCTTGAGCTCAGGAGTTTGAGACCAGCCCGACTAACATGGTGAAACCTGTCTCTACTAAATACGAAAAATTAGCGGGCGATGGGCTCGCCTATAACCCCAGCTACTTGGGGGAGGCTGAGGTAGAGAATTGCTTGAATTGCATTGAGCTGAGATCACACCACTGCCCTCCAGCCTGGTGACCAAGGAGAATTCTACCTCAAAAAAAAAAAGAAAAGTTTGGCAATATTTCAGGAAAGCTAAGGCAGAAGGGGTAGTTCTGCCAGGTGAAGAGTCAGGAGGATGAGGATGTAGTGAAGAATCTAGTATAAATCAGATTGTAATGGCAGCAGGAACATCTGGTAGAGTGACTGAGCGAGACTCTATCTCAAAAAAAAAAAAAAAAAGAAAAGTTTGGTAATATGAGCTGAGATCACACCACTGCCCTCCAGCCTGGTGACCAAGGAGAATTCTACCTCAAAAAAAAAAAGAAAAGTTTGGCAATATTTCAGGAAAGCTAAGGCAGAAGGGGTAGTTCTGCCAGGTGAAGAGTCAGGAGGATGAGGATGTAGTGAAGAATCTAGTATAAATCAGATTGTAATGGCAGCAGGAACATCTGGTAGACAGCCTGGGTGACTGAGCGAGACTCTATCTCAAAAAAAAAAAAAAAAGAAAAGTTTGGTAATATTTCAGGAAAGCATACAGAAGGGGTAGAAGTTTGCCAGGTGAAGAGTCAGGAGGATGATATTTAGTAGAGGAATCTAGTATAACCAGATTGTGTGTTTGGCAGCAGGAACATCTGCAGGAACACCTGAAGAGGGTGCACCTTTGGCAGAAAGAACACCTGACACAGCTGAAAGCTTGGTGGAAAAATCACCTGACGAGGCCGCACCCTTGGTGGAGGCAACACCTGACACAGCTGAAAGCTTGGTGGAAAAATCACCTGACGAGGCCACACCCTTGGTGGAGGGAACGCCTGACACAGCTGAAAGCTTGGTGGAAAAAACACCTGATGAGGCTGCGAATTACACCTGAAGAGGGTGCACTTTGGCAGAAAGAACACCTGACACAGTTGAAAGCTGGAAAATCACCTGACGAGGCCGCACTTTGGTGGAGGGAACACCTGACACAGCTGAAAACTTGGTGGAAAACACCTGACGCAGGCTCGCACTCTTTGGTGGAGGGAACACCTGACACAGCTGAAAGCTATGGAAAAAACACCTGATGAGTCTGCACCCGATGAGGTTGCACCCTTGGTGGAGGGAACACCTGACAAAATTCACTGCTGGGGAAAGCTACATCTGGAAAGTTGGAACAGCAAGAAGAAACACCTAGAAAATTACGAGGCCTGCAAAAGAAACATATGGGCAATTTATATGTCCAGTAACAGGAAGACTTAGGAAGATGGCATGGGAGAAAAAACCAAGACCTGTAAAGACTGAACGCGTGGCAGTAGTAACATCTAATAAAACTAAAGTTTTGGAAAAAGGAACATCTAAGATGATTGCATGTCCTACAAAAGAAACATCTACAAAAGCAAGTACCAATGGTAAGATGCTTGAGCGAACTTTGTAAGGTTTATTGGCACTTCGGGTTCCCTAATGAAAAAAGTGTGATGTGGGAGTAGTTGGGAATGACTTGAATATCTTTTTTATTATTATTATTATACTTTAAGTTCTAGGGTACATGTGCATAACGTGCAGGTTTGTTACATATGTATACTTGTGCCATGTTGGTGTGCTGCACCCATCAACTCGTCAGCACCCATCAACCCGTCATTTACATCAGGTATAACTCCCAATGCAATCCCTCCCCCCCTCCCCATAATATGCCCGTGTGTGATGTTCCCCTTCCCGAGTCCAAGTGATCTCATTGTTCAGTTCCCACCTATGAGTGAGAACCTGAGGTGTTTGGTTTTCTGTTCTTGCGATAGTTTGCTGAGAATGATGATTTCCAGCTGCATCCATGTCCCTACAAAGGACACAAACTCATTCTTTTTTATGGCTGCATAGTATTCCATGGTGTATATGTGCCACATTTTCTTAATCCAGTCTGTCACTAATGGACATTTGGGTTGATTCCAAGTCTTTGCAATTGTGAATAGTGCCACAATGAACATACATGTGCATGTGTCTTTATAGCAGCATGATTTATAATCCTTTGGGTGAATGCTCGTCATCACTGGCTATCAGAGAAATGCAAATCAAAACCACAATGAGATACCATCTCACACCAGTTAGAATGGCAATCATTAAAAGTCAGGAAACAACAGATGCTGGAGAGGATGTGGAGAAATAGGAACACTTTTACACTGTTGGTGGGATTGTAAACTAGTTCAACTATTATGGAAAACAGTATGGTGATTCCTCAAGGATCTAGAACTAGAAGTACCATATGACCCAGCCATCCCATTACTGGGTATATACCCATGACTTGAATATCTAAATAAGGCAAGCTCAGGCTACACTTTTTAATAGTATAGGAATTAAGTAGCTCTTATTCTGTAGGCCCTGGAAAAATTCTCACAGTTTTTCTGGCTATAAATACTAGATGAACTAACGAACAATGGCTAAAACCATAGGAACTGAAGTTGTTGTTTTGTTACAGGGATATCATAGGATCTCACTTTCTGTTTTTTTTTTTTTGTTTGTTGTGAGACACAGTCTCAAGCCTTCGCCTGAGCTGAGTGCAATGGCGCAAGCCAGTACGTGAGCTGGAATCACACCACTGCCCTCCAGCCTGGGTGACTGGTGAGACTCTATCTCAAAAAAAAAAAGAAAAGTTTGGTAATATTTCAGGAAAAGCATACAGAAGGGGTAGAAGTTGCCAGGTGAAGAGTCAGGAGGATGATATTTGATAGAAGAATCTAGTATAACCAGATTGTGTGTTTGCATAGAAGACATCTGCAGGAACACCTGAAGAGGGTACACCTTTGGCAGAACACTGACACAGCTGAAAACTTGGTGGAAAAACACACAAGCGAGGCACGCAGTAGTGGAGGGAACACCTGACACAGCTGAAAGCTTAGTGGAAAACACCTGATGAGTCTGCACCTGATGAGGCTGCACCCTTAGTGGAGAACACCTGACAAAATTCAATGTTTGGGGAAACGACATCTGGAAAGTTGGAACGGTGCCAGAAGAAACACCTAGAAAATTACGAGGCCTGCAAAGAAACATGTGGGCAATTTTATATGTCCAGTAACAGGAAGACTTAGGAAGATGGCATGGGAGAAAAAACCAAGACCTGTAAAGACCCAGACGTGTGGCAGTAGTAACATCTAATAAAACTAAAGTTTTGGAAAAAGGAACATCTAAGATGATTGCATATCCTACAAAAACATCTACAAAGCAAGTACCAATGGTAAGATGCTTGGCGAACTTTGTAAGGTTTATTGGCGCCGGGTTCCCTAATGAAAAGAAAGTGTGGTGTGGGAGTAGTTGGGAATGACTTGAATGTCTTTTTTTTATTATTATTATACTTTAAGTTCTAGGGTACATGTGCATAACGTGCAGGTTTGTTACATATGTATGCTTGTGCCATGTTGGTGTGCTGCACCCATCAACTCGTCAGCACCCATCAACCCGTCATTTACATCAGGTAGCAACTCCCAATGCAATCCCTCCCCCTCCCCTTAATATGCCGTGTGTGATGTTCCCCTTCCGAGTCAAGTGATCTCATTGTTCAGTTCCCACCTATGAGTGAGAACCTGGTGTTATTTTTCTGTTCTTGCGATAGTTTGCTGAGAATGATGGTTTCAGCTGCATCCCATGTCCCTAAAGGACACAAACTCATTCTTTTATGGCTGCATAGTATTCCATGGTGTATGTGCCACATTTTCTTAATCCAGTCTGTCACTAATGGACATTTGGGTTGATTCCAAGTCTTTGCAATTGTAGACCGTGCCACAATGAACATACATGTGCATGTGTCTTTATAGCAGCATGATTTATAATCCTTTGGGTGAATGCTCGTCATCACTGGCTATCAGAGAAATGCAAATCAAAACCACAATGAGATACCATCTCACACCAGTTAGAATGGCAATCATTAAAAGTCAGGAAACAACAGATGCTGGAAGGATGTGGAAAGTAGGAACACTTTTACACTGTTGGTGGGATTGTAAACTAGTTCAACTATTATGGAAAACAGTATGGTGATTCCTCAAGGATCTAGAACTAGAAGTACCATATGACCCAGCCATCCCATTGCTGGTATATACCCATGACTTGAATATCTAAATGAGCAGCTCGGAGCTACACTTTTTAATAGTATAGGAATTAAGTAGCTCTTATTCTGTAGGCCCTGGAAAAATTCTCACAGTTTTTCTGGCTATAAATACTAGATGAACTAGACAATGGCTATCCACTTAGGAACTGAAGTTGTTTTGGTGGTACAGGATATCATGAGATCACTTTCTGTTTTTTTGTTGTTGCTTGAGACACAGTCTCAAACTGTCGCCTGAGCTGGAGTGCAATGGCGCAAGCAATCTCGACTGACTACAGCCTCGCCTCCTGGCTTCATGCGATTATCCTGCCTCAGCCTCCCAAGTAGCTAGGATTACAGGTGCCTGCCACTACACCTGGATAATTTTTGTATTTTTAAAGTAGAGATGGGGTTTCACTATATTGGCCAGACTCAAACTTGTGACCTGCTGATATGCCTGCCTTGGCCTCCAAAAGTGCTGGGAATTCAGGTGTGAGCCACTGTGCCCAGCCAGGATCCCACTTTTGGTTGGTTAATTAGCAACAGCTCCAGTAATCATGCTCTCTCAAGACAATATTTAAAATCTGGAAGGGTTGCTTTTGTTCACATGTTTCTTTTAAGGGGAGAAAACTTGAAGCTTGCGGTAATCTTCCTGTAACATTTTATTGGCTGGATCATACCACATACTTATATCTAAACCAGTCACTAGGAAAGCAAATGTAATTACTGTGATTAGCTTAGAATAATGATTTCTCTTTTTGAGATGGGATTGGGGTAATGGAGGGCCTGAATATCTAAAGAAACTTGTGTTTCTACAGCAAGAAAGAATAAATAATGTCTATGCATAGGGAAGCCAGCAATGTTTTCTGTAGGGATTCATTTGAAAAGTTTGAGCAGAAGTCACAAGATTAGTTTGAGTATCAGGGCATACTGGATATGGTACAAGGCAGAGATTGGCAAACTTTTCCTGTAAAAGGTACCACATAGGGAATATGTTAGGCTGCTGGGCATGAGTGGCTCAAGCCTGTAATCCCAGCACTTTGGGAGGCTGAGGCACGTGGATCATGAAGTCAGGAGTTCGAGAACAGCCTGGCCAACATGTTGGCTCCGTCTACTAAAAATACAAAAAGTAGCCAGGCATGGTGGTGTACGCCTGTAATCCCAGCTACTTGGGAGGCTGAGGTAAAGGAGAATCCACTTGGGCCCAGGAGGCCCAAGAGAGGTTTCAGGAGCTGAGATCGCTACTACACTCCTGGCCTGGGGACAGAGCAATATTCCATCTCCAAAATATGCTAGAGCCATGTGGTCTCTATAACCTTCTCGAAGTCTGTATTGTAGGGTGAAAGCAGTCATAGATAATGTATGAGCAAATGAAGCAGATTAGCCTCAGTAAAACTTTGTATAGAAAACTGTTGTCATGAATTTGGCCTGTAGCCTATAGTTTTGCTAGCCCCTTCATATAGAAGAAAGATGGAAGGTAATTACATAAAAAGTTTAAAGATGAAGCTTTGTAGTAGTTCATGCTATAGTCCTTTTTTTTTTTTTTTAGTCACCTATCTGGCAGCTGTATCAATCTATTATGAAAGTTTGGCCCATTCAGGGTAAAAAGAATCAAGTTCAGAAGCTCAATTTACACATTTAAACATATGGTCTTTCTTTGCCATTATTTTACTTTGATTTCTTTTACTGAATTTTAACTTAAAAATACAATAGTAATTAGTGAAGTTTCTTTTTCCCTGTGAAAGCCATCAGTTAAGGAGCCATGTGCTAGGAAATTTGAGTGAATTCACTTCGATGTGTTTAGAATATTTCTGTTATATATTTGTTTTCTGCCTCATGGTGCTCAGTATTCCTTGGGCCTTGCATGGACCTTGATTTAATTCTATGAAATGTGGGAAATTTAGGTTACTTAAGGCAATCATTTTTCCTATAAATTTGTAATGTTTCTCCAGGGAGGCACAAGTTGATTCTGAATCTGTGGCCTAGTATCAATCTATTATGAAAGTTTGACCCATTCAGGGTAAAAAGAATCAAGTTCAGAAGCTCAATTTACACATTTAAACATGTAGGTCTTTCTTTGCCATTATTTTACTTTGATTTCTTTTACTGAATTTTTTAACTTAAAAAATACAATAGTAATTGGTAGAGTTTCTTTTTCCCTGTGAAAGCCATCAGTTAAGGGGCTATGTCTAACTAGGAAATTTGAGTGAATTCACTTCAGATGTGTTTAGAATATTTCTGTTATATATTCATTTTCTGCCTCATGGTGCTCAGTATTCCTTGGGCCTTGCATGGACCTTGATTTAATTCTATGAAATGTGGGAAATTTAGGTTACTTAAGGCAATCATTTTTCCTATAAATTTGTAATGTTTCTCCAGGGAGGCACAAGTTGATTCTGAAGATATTGTTGCATTAAGGAAAGACTATCTCATTGTAATTAAAACAGTTTTTAATTTATATGCAGTACAAGTTCTTTAAGCTTATTTATCTAAAACACATACACACCAAATATACTGTCATGGCATATTGAAATTTAAAAGGGTTGGATATATATTTTGTTAATATCAAAAAGTTAGTATTTTGCAGACTCTTATTTATTGATAAATAATTTTTTTGAAGAACTATGTAATAAAGATTGCTTAGTCAATAAAACTAAGTAATAGTAAGAAATAAAAACTTAGAAAGTAATGAGAGATGATAGGTAATTAAAGTTACCTGAGTGAATAGCAAATATCTGACATAGTGTGTTTCACGGGAGAAGAGGATATGACTTCTTTTGTGAAGAAATAATTAATACAAACTAAACAAATTTTTATTTTATTTGCATTCTAATGAGTATAAAGTTGATTTTTAGATTTTAAGATCGCAACTCTAACCAATTGACTATAGAAGTGGTGGTGGTTATCCACCGATAGAATATACAGGCTACAGAGGAAAGTCCACAGATTCATGAATGAAAATAGATTTGTATATGTTTTAAAATTTTATAATAAGAAATGTTCTCATGAATGTGTCTGTGATTAACCTTTTATAGATCAGAGGTTCCCAAAAGAATCCAAACAAGAGGAAGATGAAGAAAATTCTTGTGATTCTGGGGTACTGTGTATTATTGATGTTATTATTCTCTAAAAATATTAATACTGAGTGATGTGAAAATATAAAGTCAGAGGCTTTGACTTGGTTTTCTTACCACTGCATATGCTCAGAAGAAATTCTGATTTTTCTAAAAACATACTTGGCTGGGCGTGATGACTCATGCCTGTAATCCCAGCACTTTGGGAGGCCCGAGTTGGGAGGATCACCTGAGGTCAGGAGTTCGAGACTAGCCTGGCTAATATGGTGAAGCCCTGTCTATACTAAAAATACAAAATTAGTTGGGTGTGGTGGCACACACCTCTAATCCCAGCTACTTGGGAAGCTGAGGCAGGAGAATCACTTGAACCTGGGAGATGGAGGTTGCAGTGAGCTGAGATCGTGCCATTGCACTCAGATCGGGCCATTGTACTCCAGTCTGGGTGACAAAGTGAGACTCTGTCTCCAAAAAAAGAAATACTTAAATATCTATGTGCTAAGTAGATTACTGCTTGGTAGTGAAATTCTGATAATTTTCAGAATTAGTTTCAGACAACTGTGTAGTATAGTGTAAAAAATAAGGCTTAGAATTCACAAGTAATTCACATGAGTTCTGAGGTGAAATTTGACCAAAAGCTAAAGAATTACTCTGAGTCTACCTTTGGGCAAATATATGATTCGGTGGTATATCTAGACATACAAAAGTTCTAATTGGATTCATAGAAAACCAGTTTAAGCTGTGGCTTTGTACAACTTGAAACATAAAAGATAATGCTTTGGATTTGAAATTATTGACATATCTGTATTATCCAGTATAGACCTGAAGGAACATTTCAGGAGAAAACAATGCATAAAGAATAGGAAACTACTGGGACTATAATAACAATTTGTTTGAGTGTTTTAAAAAGTAGAAATTATTTTTACAAATAGACCTCTTTGAGTCTGTTTGTGGTAGCCATGCTTATGCAACATAAGTACCAAATAATAATGATGTAGTCCAAGGTCACAACTGTGGAAAGACACAGGAAGTGACTGACCTCTTAGATCCAAGCACCTGCTGCACAGTGGTAACAGAAATGAGATGTCAGTAGACAAGTCGACTTTATCTAATATGTCCATAGACCAAAAAAAAAAAAAAAAAAAGACTTTCTAATACTTGTCTGCTTTCATTTAAACATAACGTAAGTTTTCCTTAGTACTTTTTCATTTTATTCAAGTACTTTTTCTGTCAGCATTTTATCAAAAACATTTTGATTATTTTAAGCCCCTGTTTACCTAAATAAAGCAGCTTCTACAATGTTCTGAGTATACTTTATATGACTTATTCTTAACATTCTCTTCATGCCATGCATCATTTTTAACACTAAATAATTCTATAATCATGAATATTTTCAATGTTTAATACAGTATGTATTTGCAGCAGCACTCCTCTGAAGGGGGCACCGACGCAGGGAGTCTGTCCCTTGCAGACCTCTGACCCGGCGACAGATGAATAAAGTACATTGACACACAGATATTCTGCTCTGTCAGTCCAGCTGAGGGTGTCCAAGTGGCTTACAGACTCCCTGCTGAGTTCTGTAAACAGTTGCCACTATGGCCCTGATCAGCTAGTCAGACTCACAATTATTCAGTAAGATTAATTAACAAAAGCTTGGGTCAACACCATTAGAGGGTAATTGACATTGTGGACTTCCCGAGTAAAAAGCCCTTAAGCACCTGTGGTACATCAAAGGTTAGTCTTAAGATTATATGAGTAAATTAGCTAGCTAGGTAAACTACTCTGCCTTCCTTTATGACTACTTTAATTTGTTTAACTAAAGGTGAAGATCAGGTTGCCTTCAACCATATCTATTACCAAAATTATGCAAACTTCTCAGTCTTCCAAGCAGATTTGTGTCTATCTCTATAACTATCTCTAATATTTTTCCCACCAGCCTGATTGAATTCCAACTTGTGTTATGGCAGGTAGCAAGTGTATTATATTTTGTTTGATGTGCCTTCTTGGTTTTTGGTGAGGAAGATAAAGTAAGATATTTTTAAGTGAGTTGCTTCTTGAAATATGCAGATAAGTGTATATTTTTGTCAATATTATTTATTTTTTCATGCTCAGTAACTGAGTCAATAGCTGCATGAAGATAACAGGTAAGTTTTGATCTAGATAGCATATGTGAGGTTTTCTATCAAAATGTTGTGATTTTCAATATGTGCCTATCCTTAAATCAAATTGCCTTTGAAGCCAGAGATTGAGTTTAAAAATATTTTAATTAGGAAATTTTATGCCTCTTTTGATTTTAAAATTGAAATTATCTATTGATACTACTTTTAACAGAGTCTCTTTGAGAGTTCTACAAAGATTCAAGTGTGTACACCTGAGTCTATTTATCAAAGTGTAACGAAGCATATAAATAGAGAAGTAGAAGGTAAGAACCATTTTTATTTGAAAAGTCTTTTAACCATATGTTTGTCTAAATACATGAAGACTGATATACTCTAATAGCCAAATAAAATTACCCACTAAATACATAACATTGAAAAGAGAGGAATAAAATGGTAAGTTACATTTTATTCCTTGTATAAGTTGGCAACAGGATATATAGAGAGTACAAAAAAAAAAAAAAAAAAAAAAAAAAAAACAAATTATTTGAATCCAAAATACTCTAAGACATGAGGAGAGTCAGGAAATAAGTAAGACAAAAGGAGTAAAAAAGGGAATGAAGACTAAGGAAGACAGAGAGAGTATAGGGAGTTCATGAAGGAAGAAGAAGCAGGTTTATTAAATGGAGATGGGAAAATATATATATATATTTAGAAAAGATAGACAATGCGTAGAAAGATGGTAAGAATATAAAATGATCTTCCAGTCCCAAAACTTGTCAGAAAATTATAGTTAAAGTTTTCTCACTTTTCCTGTCTTTCTCACTACTGGGAAGGCATTAGGGATGGAATTATCTGAGCATGCAGAATTGTGTTTTATTTGCAATAGGTGAGTATTAACAAATATGCATAGGTGTGCATCTATATAATTTGTCATATATACTCAGTATAGACTAAAAGTTATGAAACATTAGAAAATCAGCTGAATACCTTATTAATACACAGTATCATTCAGCACAATTGAGTTTCTATTAGTAAGTTCTCAGGCGATGCTGATACCAGTGGTACCTGGAGCTCGCTCTCAAAAGCAAGGGGAGAGGCCATTTATGGGGAAAATGTGGAAGAAGAGCAACTGAATAAACGGTCAAGACATAACAGGGTCAAGAGAAAGCATTATATTCCTTTTGTTTCTGAGTATGCTTTTAGCCAGAGAAGAAGAAGAAAAAGATAAAAAAGCAGAAACTGTAAATTTAAGATACTCTCACTAAACAAGGAGAAAGGAAGTGATGGAAAAAGAAATTTGAAACAGTGTTGGATGGAAAGAATTCTACAGAGTTAGAGGGTTTTGTTTATTTTTTATTTTTATTTTATTTTTTTAATAGAGGCATTCTAGACAGATAACAGGGGACAAACAAGAAAGAAGGTAGGCAGGTTTTGTCCTCTGAGAAGGACAGTTGAGTGAACTCTCTTCAGATGCATTTAGATTATTTGCACTCCCGAAAGTAGTTTGTGGGCACTCCAGAGACTACCAGAAGCAGGAGGCCTACTAGAATTGGGAGAACCACAGTGACTCATTAGGTTTCTCTGTTACAATCAGGCATGACAAATATATATTTTGTTGATGTTAGCTATTCAAATGAGATATATTTGAAACTAAGAACATTGACTTTATTTTTAAGAAAGTGTGTTGAATTACCATTCCACAAAAATTTATTATAGACTAATGATACACCAAATCAGATGAATTATAGGAACTAAAAATTACTGAATTTATATTTGAATAATAAGATTGCTTTTTAAAATAAATATTGTGGTGACTTAACAATATAAAACGTTATTTGTGTTTAATACATCTATTGCAATTAATTTTTATATAAATATGTGAATATTGAAAGCTTATAAATTATTTCCATGATGAGTTTTATACATCTTGCATGAGTGGATCAAGAAGCATTCAGATGGATAAAATAGAGGATACAGAAATATAGGCATATGATTACACCATATGGTTATGGAAAACAATGAATATTTATATTTAGTATTATGACCTAAGTGTATATCCAAGCTGATCAATTCATAACACTTCACAGATGAGATGTCAATTCTACATTCAACTGAACTCTCATCATAACTATGTACCTTTCCAAAGATAGGCCCGTATTACAGAACATGATGAATAGAATAATATAAATGATTCTAGTGTGTTTCGTTAAGTACCTGGTATGGCATTCCATGTTCAGCTTTGACATTTATTTTCTCATATCAATTCTTTTTACATGTGAAACACAATCTTGCTTTTGAAGTCTTAACTGCATGATCTGTGAAACCTATATTTATATTTTCTTCAGTGTGTTCTTGTCATGTGTGTGTCCTAAATAAACCAAAAGAAAACTTCCCAAATCTAAAGTATTCATTCTCAAAGATGACCAAGAAGACTCAGTTAGATACTCTCACTGTGTTCATTTGTGGTTGGCTTTGTCATATTTACTTATGATTGATGATAAATGTCTTTCGCTTTTTAGAGCCTCCTGAGAAGTCATCTGCCTTCAAGGTATTTAGTTTTATAATTTCATTTTGAATGACTTCTTAACTATGTATTTTGTGAAGTATCCATTCTTGATTAATCATTGTTCTTCCAAACCCATTTAGCCTGCCACTGAAATACAAAACTCTTTTCCAAATGAAGCCTTCGAATGCAAGAAGGAACAACTTTTGACAGCAGGTAAATTTCAACTTATGTAAAGACGAATATTTCAATATTGGACATTTTGATAATAGTCTTTCTATCCCCAACGCTGTATTTTTTTCAACTTTGCTGAAAAAAATTTGATCTAGATAATGCCAATACTGGTATTTGTGTTTGAAAACCCAATCTTACAAGAACAGTAATTTACAATATTTTAAAAAAACATGTAGCCTTATTCTCAAGTGTTTCCACTTTGGTATCCCGAAACTGTAATGTTTTCTATTTTGAACTTTGTATTTCTTAAAGATTCAAGGAGGTGAATTTTGAAAGTCTAATTTTTGTTTAGTTCTTTGAAGCTTGATTCAAATTCCACGGTTTACTTCGGGGATTGCATCTTTTATTAATATAACACTTGTTTTTTAACATTAATTACCTCATTTCCGGTGTTGTCACTTTGAGAATCCTAAGAAAATCGGTAACTCGGATTAGCGAACTCTGTGTGTTTGTGTGTATGTGTCTGCATGTGTGCCTGTGTGTGTCTGTTTATGTGTGTGGTACCTTTCCCTTGTAAAGATGAGGATAGTAATTAGTCATTTATTTGTGAATATTTGATAAACACACTCTTTTTCATGAAACTGTGATTCTGAAGCCTTTGGCTTTAGAGTCTTTGTATAGTACTACCGTTTATTGCCTAGAAGTAACCAATATTCTAAACTATTTTAAAAACTATTCTTATGCATGTTTAAACATTTTACAACATGTGTGCAAGTTCATATTTAATATGTAAAATATTTTTCAACTTCTAAAGCATACATGGTTGTACAGTGTAATATTTTAATATTCAGCAATTCTTTTTTTATCTGCATTATAATTTTTAGAGACATCCATAAAGAGCACAGTTAAGTGTCTTTTTAAATATTAGGTTGTTTATGAAATTCCATTGTATGACTACACCATAGTTAATTGCACAATTTTGATGCTGATTAATAATAAATAAAAATGAAAGCATGCAGATTTCAGAGTCTTTAAGTTAGTTTTATCTGCTGATTTTTTAGTTATTAGAAATTAAAACTACAATATTTAAAGTATTTCTTTTTGGAATCATACATTCCACTAACAATTTGACCTGTGACCCACAGATTATTAGAGCTATGGTGTTGCAACATGTTAGATCTCTGAAAGTATCCAGGGTACACTTCTAAAAATAAGTGAAAATGGTGGCTTACCAAAGTATGATTTGAGTTTCTTGGACCCTCTGCATGAAATGTGAACTTTGGGGATGCTGATCACAAGTTAAATTTGCTTTTTAAAACTGGGTATACAGTTGATGGATGTCAAATGATAAACGAACCCTTAATGATGAAACGGTCTTTTAAGTTTTAGTTGTTCATGTTTGCTTTTTTCTTTAACCTGATTCAAATAGTTGTAATATGTACTTTTTGTTGATAAAGAAAACTGGGCGTTGTTTTTGGTATAAATTCATTTTCTGTCTCATGGGCCTGAGAGCTCTGCAAGTCTTGTGTGGGCCTTCATTTTATCCTGAGACATGTGGGAACGTTAGATTACTTAAGATTGCTTGAGATTGCTGTGTCAATCAAACTAAGTAATACTACAAAATAAAAATTTACAAAGAAATGAGAGATGATAGGTAAAGTTTTCTGAAGGAACAACAAATATAGGACATACTGTGTTTCACAGGAGAAGAGGGTATGATTGCTTTGTGAAGAAATAATTCATACAATTTAGTCAGATTTCTATTTTTCTGCATTCTAATGAATGATAGAATGTTAATTTTCAGACTTTTTAGATTTCAATTCTAATGGATTGATTATAGAAGTAGTGATTGTAATCGACACAAAGAATATACGGGCTACAGAGGAAAAACCACAGTTTCATGAATGAAAGCAGATTTGTATGTTTTGAAAATTTATAACAGAGAAATGTTCTCATGGATGTATCTATGATTAACCTTTTATAGATCAGATGATCCCATCAGAATCCAAACAAAAGGACAATGAAGAAAATTCTTGGGATCTAGAGGTACTATGTATTATCAGTGTTTTCTTAATATTAGTATTGCATGATATGAAAACACAAAATCAGAGGCTTAGACTTTATTTTCTCACTTCTGCATATGTCATCCCCAAATTATTTTTGGTATTTTTCAGAATACGCTTCATAGAGAATCTATGTGCTAAGTAGGTTACTACTTCATAGTGAAATTCTGCTAATTTGTAGGATTAATTTAAGAAGCTAGTGTGGTATAGTATAAAAAATAAGGCTTAGAAGTCACTAGCAATTCACATGGGATCTGAAGTACGTTTGTCTAAAAGCGAAAGAATTATACTGAGTCCAGTTATGGGCAAATATATGATTCTGTGATTTATCTAGATGTACAAAAGTTCTAATTGGATTCATAGACAGTTTAAACTGCAGTATTGTAAAAGCTGGGACCTGAAAAGTTAATGGCTGGGACTTTAACATATTGACATATCTTTATTGTTCAGTATAGAGCTGAGGGAACATTTCAGGAAAAAGACAAGTCTGAGGAATAGGAAACCTGGTGGGACTATAATAACAAGAGTATTAGTTGACTAGTCTTTTAAAAAATATAAATGATTTTCACAAATAGAACTCCTTGAGTCCCTTTGTGGCAGTCAAGCTGCAGCAGCGTGAGCGTCAAATAATAGTGATGTATTTTAAGGTCACAGCTGTGGAAAGACATAGAAAGTATCTGACCTCTTACAAATAAGCAGCTGCTGCCTGGTGGTAACACCAAAGGGTGGAAGTCAACAGACAGGTAGATTTTATCTGATTTATCATTAGACAAAAAAACTTTAACATTTGTTTCTTTCATTTAAACATAACATAATTTTTTTCTTACTGCATTTACATTCTATTCAGGCACTTTTTTTGTCAGCATAGATATGTCAAAAACATGTTGCTGAATTTAGGCCCCTGTTTACCAAAATAAAGCAGCTTTTCAACATTCTGTGCATATATTATATGACGGACTCTAAAAGTTCTCTTCATGACATGCATCATTTTT